CAAGTATGGCATGAGTGTGGAGTCAGAGGACAGCCCGTAGAGGTCATCTCTGCTTCTACCACATGGGGCCCAGGAATCAAACTCAGGTCACCAGACCTGACAGCAAGTGCCTTACCACTGAGCCAGCTTGCTGCCCCCTCACCAGCTCCTCTCATAGGAAAAAGAAAAGCAAGTAATACACCGTAGCCACTCAGCAGTATCAGGACACAACATGGAAGCTTGCCTTACAACCTCTGGGTTTCTGTAAGCACATCAAATGATGTCTGGTGAAATAGCTCACTGTAACACTTCCTAGAATGCGCCCAGCATTAACCACACATGACTATTATTAGGTGTGCCTGTCACATCCGTGTTTCTCTAGGGAAGGACATTCCCCTAGACAAGGCCAGGCATGGCCGTGGGTCTCGGCAACCTGAGGGAGTTTCAGACTTCAGTCCTTCTCGCTTGAAGTCTTTCTAAACTTCTTTGCCTTTGCCCTGCCACCAATGCCCACTTCCTTTGAGGTCAATCTGAGGCAAGAGAGAGACATATGGGGGGATATGGGGACATGGGCAGAGGAAGGGGCTCCTTAGCCCGGAGTCTGCTTGAAACCTCTCACCAGCTGAGACCCAGGAGCAATTAACAGTCGCTGCCTTTGTCCCTTCCCTGCTAAAAGCCTGCAGCCTTCTAGGATTCTCACCAGAATCCCCATCTATAGTTTAGGACATACCCTAACTATTTGTGCAGCCATAGTGGCTCCTGGTTACTAGATTGTAATTCCATCCAAACACCTTGTCTTAGGGGGTTTTATTGCTGTGAAGAGACACCACAACGATAGCAACTCATAAAAAAACATTTAATTGAGGTGACTTGCTTACAGTTTCAGAGTTTCAGTCCATTATCATCACGGATGGGGAGCATGGTGGCTGCAAGTCTATGACATTGGAGAGGTAGCTGATAGTGCTACGTTTTGCTGACAACAGGAAGCCACCGACTCACTGGGTGGTATCCTGAGCATAGGAAACCTCAAAACCTGCCCCCACAGTGACATACTTCCTCCAAAAAGGCCATACCCACTCCAAGAAAGCCACACTTCCTAATAGTTCCACTCCCTATGAGAGTATGGGGGCCAATTACATTCAAACTACCGTGTTCCACTCACTGGCCCCCATAAGTTCATAATGCAAAATGCATTTAGTCTAACTTCAAAAGTCCCCATAGTCTACTACAGTCTCAAACCTATCTAAAAGTCCAAAGTTCAAAGTCTCTTCTGAGATTCATTCTGTCCCTTAACTGTAATCACCCATAAAAATCAATATCAAAAAGCAGATGACATACTTCCAACATATAATGGCACAGGCTATACATTATCATTCCAAAATGCAGGGAAGAGAGAATAGTGAGGAAACACTGAGCCAAAGCAGGACCAAGACCCAGCTGGGCAAACTCCAAACTCTGCATCTCCATGCCTGATGTCAAAACGCTCTTCGATCAACAGCTGCTTTCAGCTTTGTTGAGTGCAGCACACGTCTTTCTCTTAGGTTGGTTCCGTTAGCCGCTCTCCTAGGCAGGTGTCCCATGACTCTGGCATCTCTAACATCTTGGATTCTCCAAGGCAATCCAGGCTTCAACTTCATGGCTTCACACAATGGCCTCTCTACTAGGCCTCCATTCAGGGACACCCCTGACATCAGTGACTTTCCTTAGGTGTGGAGGCATATTCTATAACTCATTTTCCCTATCCTTAACTCTAAAGCCAGAACGATGTGGCCGAAGATGCCAAGTTCTGCTGCTTACTAGAGCCAGGATATAACCATCTCGCTCAATTCTATCTTCACCAGCTTTCTGTCCTTCACTGCCTAAGCTTGGTTGTCCTGAAATTGGATCTCAAGACCAGGTTGGCCTCAAACTCAGAGATTTGCCAATCTCCGACTTCCCAATGCTGGGATTAAAGGTGTGCCCCACCACACCTGGCTCTCAGCTTCTCTTTAGCTCCTTTCACAAGTTGGAAATTTAGCTGGGTGGGATCTTGCCCTTAGATCACCACTCCCCCTTATTCCATTTCTTAATCCATTTAGCTCCTTGAACACAGAATTTATCTCCATTCCACTTCCTTGAATTTGAGGATTAGATTCCACATATCAGAAACTGCAACCAGGTCTGTTAAGTTAAAAAAAAAAAAAAAACAACGGAGACAAGATCTCATGTATCCCAGGCCAGCCCCAAACTCACTATATGGCCAATGGTGACCTTGATCATTTTGCCTCCATCTCCCAAGAGATAGGCTTACAGGTGTGAGCCACCATGCAAGGCTTCTTTCCAGCAATCTTGAACTTGAAAACCTTTAAGCAGCACTTGCTCTCCCATAAGATCCCAGCACCTCCCCTTAGCTGCCCTTGATGTTGTCAGTTGCCCCTGAGGTACCTGCTTTTGTGACTGGAAGGCTGCTGAGTAACCTTGTTTGGTATGACTGCAGTATGGTGCCAGCATCCAGTCCCCTTTAGCCACGTGTGGGCATGGCCCCTCCATCATCCTCACTGTACAACTTCAGGTGCCAGGACCCCAATCAAAGAGTTCCTGCCCTTCAAACGTGGAATTGAAGGGCAACTGTCCCGTCCTCACTTCCATCAATACTGTGGTGCCCCCATTTCAAGCTGTGGTCACCTTCCTTCAACTGGGATTCCATTCTGCCTGGCAATGCTCAGAGAACTCTGGGTGGTTTTGAGGAGAGACATCCCTTATGCAAGGTTGCAAGGATCTCAACCCACCAAGGCTGGGAGACCTGGCTCCTGTATCAAGCAAAGACCAGACCTCAGAAAGGAAGAATGTGCACCACCTGGTGGCCATTTCTGGAGTGGCAGCAGATAACTGGAACACATCTTGTACTGGCTTTTCAGTGATCGTGAGCAAAACTTAAAATCCAGATACTCTTAAACCCAAAGGCCACACCAGATCAAAAACAGCAACAAAAGGAAACACCAAAACAAGTTCTTTAGACCCAAACACAGTGTCACAGGCCTGGTATCTTAGCACTAGAAAGGCAGAGCCAGGAGTTCCCACAAATTCAAGGCCAGCTTGGTCTACATACCGAGTTTCAAGATAACTGGATCTACATGGAGAGACAATGTTTCAAAAAATTTTCTATTTTATTTTCATATTCTTTTAATATTTTTACATGTTTTTACTTATGGGACAGAGTGGCTTGAGCACATATCGCCATGCATGTAGAAGTCAGAGGCCAACTTGCAGGAATCTATTCTCCTACCATGTGAGTCCTGGAGATTAAACTTAGGTCATCAGACTTGGCAGCAAGTGCCTTTACTCTGATCCAGCTCACTGGCCCATTTTCCTGTCTTAATTGATCTAATAACTAATTGTTCAAAGTTATAATAACAACAGTATCAATAGTCCAGCAATCTTTCAATTACCATGCATGGATAAGTGAAATAAAGGATACCAATGTTTATAAAGAGGTACCAAATCCCCTATGAACTCATGGGAAGGTGATAACAGCTGTCAAAAACCAAAATGTCTCAGTCTTGGCTTCCAAATAAAAAACATAGTGAATCCATCTAGGTAAGGTTTTCTCTTTGGAAAGTAGAGGGGAAAATGTCAGGGTTTTAGGGGAGAGAGATCTGAGGAGGAACTGGGTGCCTTGAAAAATCGAAAGAGTCCCAAGCTACAGAAGTGTTGAGAACACAGAGGGCAGTATGGAGGTTCGCATGAGGGTCTCAGAGGAGGGACCCTTCCTAAAGCAGCTGGGGGAGGAGGAAAATGCAGGGATCATTGCAGTGCCCCCAGGACAAGGGAAGGATTCCCAGTCAGCTGGGGCCGGTGTGAACCAAGGACCCAGCAGATGTCTCCCGTGGGATTCCTTGTCATGGCTCCCACTGGCTTGGCTATTCTGTGGCTCCTTTCCCACAGGAGACATCTGACTGGTCCTTGGTTCACACCAGCTCAATTAGAAGCTCCTGGACTGGAAGAAACCATCCTGAGTGAGGTAACCCAGTCACAAAAAGACAAACATGGTATGTACTCACTCATATATGGATTTTAGACATAGATCTGGGGAGTGCCAGCCTACAATCCCACTGCCAGAGAGTCTGGGAAACAGAACCTTCATTCAATGGCTGATGGAAGCAGAGACAGACACCCACAGCCAAACACTGAACAGAACTCAAGGAACCCAGTGACAGAGAGGGAGGACTGATGAGCATAGGGGTCAAGACTGGGCTTGTTTAACCCACAGAAACAGCTGACCTGAACAAGGGGGAGCTCTTGAACCCCAGACTGAGAGACCAGCATGGGACTGATCCAGACCCTCTGAATGTGGGTGTCTGTGAGGAGGCCTAGGCAATCTATGTGGCCTTGGGTAGTAGATCAATATTTATCCCTGGCATACAAATGGACTTTGGGTGCCCATCCCACAATGAGAGATGCTCTCTCAGCCTGGACTCTTGGGGTAGGGCCTAGGCCCTGCCCTGGATGAAATGACATAGTATGGCTATCCCCCCATGGAAGGCCTCACCCTCCCTGGGGAAAAGAGTGGAAATTGGGGGAGGGGAATATGGGGGGTTGGTGGGAGGGCATGGAAAGAGGGGAGAGAGAGGGAGAGGGACCTGGGATTGACATGTGAAGCAACCTTGTTTCTAATTTAAATTTAAAAATTAAAAAAAAGACATCAAAAAAAAAAAGCTGCCATGGAGACCAGGCTGACCTTGAACTCAGATCTGTCTGCCTCTGTCTCCCAAGTGCTATATGTAAAGGTGTGTGCCACCACGCCTGGCCTCTTGAAGCATCTTCTTTGGTGATAAGGAGACTGTTCTAATCAGACACCATCAGATGGGACGCTTCCCAGTGTGGTTGCTTCTGCCAGCCATGCCATACCGAGCCTGCCTTTACTGGCTGGCTTTAGAGAGGTGCCTAAACTATCATAGTGCAGAGAGGATACGTGGTTGAGTGTATGTCCCGATTTCTAGAGAAGGAAAGACAAAGGGGAATGATAAATGAGTACGACAGTGTGACTGAGAAAATTTGACTTTTATTGATGGCTTCCTGTGGGCCACATTCTTTTTCCTTCTCTTTGTCAGGGTCCCATGTATCACAGTCTCGCTTCTAACTTGCTGTGTAGCCAAGGATGACCTAGAACTTCTGATCTTCCTGCCTCCATTTCCCAAGTGCTGTGGTCTGGTTCACATGGTGCTAGGGACGGAAAAAAAAAAGATATAACCTCATTTGTTTGTTTGTTTGTTTGTTTTTGATACATGGTTTCTCTGTGTAGCTTTGGAGCCTGTCCTGACACTCAATCTGTAAACCAGGCTGGCCTCGAACTCACAGAGATCTGCCTGCCTCTGCCTCACATAGATCCATCCACCTGCCAAGTGCTAGGACTGACGGCATGTGCCACCACCGCCCAGCAGATCCAACCTCCTAGTGAAAGGGGAGAACCAGCTGTCCTCTGACCTCTACATGCATGCTGCTGTGGCACACGTCACACACACAAGTAAATGAACGTATAAATAAATGAAAACATTAAGAATGTGAGCCGGTGGCCGGGCGTACGTGGCACACGCCTTTAATCCCAGCACTCGGGAGGCAGAGGCAGGCGGATCTCTGTGAGTTCAAGGCCAGCCTGGTCTACAAAGTGAATTCCAGGACAGCCTCCAAAGCCACAGAGAAACCCTGTCTCGAAAAACCAAAAAAAAAAAAAAAAGAATGTGAGCCGGGCGTTGGCGGCACATGCCTTTAGTCCAGCACTTTTCTACTTATTAATTTTATGTGTATAGACGTTTTCCCTGCCAGAGCGGTCCCCTGCCAGAGCAGTCAGTACTCTTAACCAGTGAGCCATCTCTCCAACCCTTATCCTAATTTAAAACATTGCTGCAAAAAAAAAAAATTTAGCAAAGACATGCAAGTAAAACAAAAAATATATATAAATTTAAGCAAAATATTTCAATATGTTATTCTATAATAATAAAAAGGTTAAGGTGGTAAATTTTACAAAATGCATATTTTAACATAATCAAAAGAAAATACATGACTATTCACGGTCACATTATTCACAATAGTCAAAACCCTGAATAGGGATTAGGGTTCTCAGTGGTAGAGTACCAGCTTAGTGCCTGCAGCCCTGGGTTCAGTTCCCAGCCCGTCCCGTTGACCAAAGCAGAAACAGCCATAGTTCATTGACTGAAAACCTAACAAAATACTATATGGCCATACGATGAAATATTATCTAGCAATACAAACGAATGAATTACTAACACAAACAAGGGCTTGGGACTGCGGTGGTGGCACAGTAGGTAACAGTGCTTGCTATATAAATAGAGGAACCTGATTTGAAGTTCCCTAAGCCAAGCATGGCCAAAAGTGCCTTTAACTACGGAGCTGCAGGAGGCAGAGACAGACAGATTGTGGGGCACAGCTGGCCATCAGCATAGCTCCAGGTTCAGAGAGAGACCCTGTCTCTGGGGATTGGGCAGGCCCTCCTCTGGCTTCCACATGTGCATGAGTTCAAGGCCCCTGGACTCTGCTATACCATCGACGCTGGGCCCTCACTGGGACTCTTTCTGGATATCCTGTTGCTGCCCTGTGTTGTGGAGCTCCTGCAGACTTGGGTCTATAGGACTGACCCCATTCCCACCCCACACCCCCTGCTCCAGCAGATCACCGAGTGTGTGGACGTTGGGGTGAGCCTGGGTAGTGCCAGTCTTCACCACCAGGGTGAGCTCTCCAGCGTTGCCCTGGCTAGTTCACCCCAGCACGGATGAACAAGGGGCAGGACTGGTTCTGCTTTCATATCCTCAGGGCTGGTTCTCCCACACCTGTGACTTCAGGGCCAGCTCTACCGTGTCATCCAGGTAAGGTGCAGGGCCTGCCCTCTGGAGTGTTGCTGCTGGCAGGGGAGCAGGAGACCCCCCCCACTCATGCTGCCACAAGACAACTCCCACCAAGGCGAGGTGCAGGGCCTGTTCTCCCGTGTTGCAGCTGTGCCCTTGTCTACAGGGTCAGCTCTGCTGTGTTGCCCATAGAGGTGCAGGGTCCGCTTTCCCATGTGTTGTAGCTGACAAAGGGACAGTTCCCTCACCAGCTAGAGGCGGTAGGGACAAGGGGGGACAAGGCATCTTTCCCTCATCCCCACCGTCACTCCACAGACAAGGGAAGTGGTACCAGCTATGCCCCTCTTCTCGATCCTTGGGGATGGCTCATCTGCACCCCCAACTACAGGTCCAGCTCTCCTGTGCTGTGTCGTTGTGTGTGTATGTGTGTGTGTGTGTGTGTGTGTGTGTCCTGTCCCCGTCTACAGGGTCAGCTCTCCTGTGCCCCCCCCGCCTTCCCCCCCTCCCCCCCCTACAGGGCCAGCTCTCCTGCTGCCCAGGTGAGGTGCAGGGCCCATTCTCCCGAGTGCTGCAGCTGGTGACGGGAGGTTGAGTCAGGTCGCCCACCTGCTGCAGCTGTTAAGGGGTGAGGGGAGGAGGGCATCTTTCCCTCACCCATGCTGCCACATGGCAGACGAGAGGGGAATGATCTGGTCTCCCGATGTCATGCCTTCAGGGCTAGCTCCCCTGTGCCACTGTGAATAAGGTCAGCTCTACTAAAATACCCAGAGAGGGGCAGGGCCCTCTCTCCTGAGTGTCTCAACCAGTGAGGGCGGGGCCAACTCTGTACAGCCCTAGCCTCTCTGCCCTCACCAGAGTCACAGACCAAGCCATGACCAGTGGCAGCCAGACATCTGACCCTGGTGGCTGTAAGGCATCAACTCATTCCTCATCTCCTCATCTCCCTCGTCTCTTCAAATCTACCTCTCTCTCTCCCATGCTCATGACTCATTCTCTCTCTGTCTCTGTGTGTGTGTGTGTGTCTCTCTCTCTCTGTCTGTGTGTGTCTCTCTGTCTCTCTGTCTCTGTGTGTCTCTCTGTCTCTCTCTATCTCTCTCTGTCTCTCTCTCTGTCTCTGTGTGTGTGTGTGTCTCTCTCTCTGTCTGTGTGTGTGTCTCTCTGTCTCTCTCTATCTCTGTCTCTCTCTCTGTCTCTCTATCTCTCTCTGTCTCTCTCTGTGTCTCTCTGTCTCTCTCCCTCTTTCTCTCTCTCTCCCCACCCCCCCATACCCTCCTGTGCTCACCCCCAGTTGGTTCCTACCTCTGCAAGCCACACGGAATGGTGGGGTGCTGTTGCTGTGTCTCAGCCGGGGAGCTAGAGTCCCCAGGCAGCTCCCAGTTGACTGCTGCCCCCATCAGCTGCTTGGCATGGTGCAGAGCTATTGCTGTATACTGGCCCTGTGCTAGGGTGCCCGGAGCAGCTCCTGGTTGAGTCCTGCCGCTGCCAGCTGCATGGCATGGTGGGGAGCTCTTGATGCTGGGTATCTTACTAGTGACTATAGCACTAGAAAAAAAATGCCTCATGCCCTCTAATAGCCATAAACTGCCTGTAGATTTCAGGGAGAAATGGAGTCTCTCTCCCCTTTTCTTCAGATTTTTGAGGGGAAAAAAAAGAAACTTCATGGAGCCCTGGCTCTCTTTGAACTTTGAAGCCCCTGTCCCCATCTGCCAAGTGCTAGCAGTACAGACACAGTGAATTTTGAAGTTATAAAGGGCTGAGATGATAATTAAATAGTAAAATGAGCAAAATAAATGCTGAAGCTATCAAAATCCAAGGCCGATCATACTGATCAAAGAGACTTTGTGTTGCCACACAGCATAAGGACTGCCTGGTACCAGCCCAAGGTCAAACAGCATGCGGCTCCCCTGAGGCAGCTCTAACAGCCAGGAGACTGCAGACTGGGGACTGCAGTTAGCCTGAGAAGGCAGAGGTTCTCCTGGTGTGTGCACAGGAGGCCCATCCTAGATCTGGATGCTTACTACATTTCAGTAAGATTGGAGGGGCTGAGGAGGGGCTCAGTTCCAGCATGTGTGAGGCCCTAGGGATGATCCTAAGTTAGGGTCTCTATTGCTGTGAGAAGACACCATGACCATGGCAACTCTTATAAAGGAAAACATTTAACTGGGTGACTTACAGTTCAGAGGTTCATTATTATTCGGTGGGACATGATGTCATGCAGGCAGACATGGTGCTGGAGAGGTAGCTGAGAGTTCCGCATCTTGTGGCAGTCATAATTTGGTAACAGGAGTGGGATATTGCTGAGATAGGCCTGACCACGCTTTTGTGTGAAGGAATATGGACTTTGGGACTGTGGATTAGAAACACAGTTGGCCACTTTAAGTGCTGCTTAATGGGTCATCCTAGTAGGAGCATGGAAGACAGTGGTGATGTGTCTGATTTGAACTGTGGGTGCCTGTATCAAGAGGTTTCAGAGAAGAAGAATGTTAGTGTGTGACCTAGAGACCAGTTGTCTTAGGGTTTTTACTGCTGTGAAAAGGCACCATGACCCCAGTAACTCTTATAAAGAAAGCATTTAGTTGGGACTGGCTTACAGGCTTCAGTGGTTCAGAGAGCATGGCATTGTGTAGACAGACATGGTGTTGAAGTTGAGAGCCCTACATCTTGCAGGCAACAGTAAATCGACTAAGACACTGGGTGGTATCCTGAGCATAGGGAACTTCAAAGCCCGCCCCCACAGTGACACACTTCCTCTAACAAGTCCATACCCACTCCAACAAGCCACACCTCCTAATAGTGCCATTCCCTATGAGCCATTAACATTCCAAATATCACAAGAGTTGGTGAGGAATTGGTGAAAAAAGTGACTGCCTTAGCCGGGCGTTGGTGGCGCACGCCTTTAATCCCAGCACTCGGGAGGCAGAGGCAGGCGGATCTCTGTGAGTTCGAGGCCAGCCTGGTCTACAAAGTGAGTTCCAGGACAGCCTCCAAAGCTACAGAGAAACCCTGTCTCGAAAAACCAAAAACAAAAAAACAAAAAAAAAACACAAAAAAGTGGCTGCCTTTTGCCCTTGTCTGAAGAGTCTGCCTAGGGCTAAAGTGAAGAGTTTTGGATTAATTCCGTTGTCAGAGGAAATCTCAAAACAGCCTACTCTAGACTCTGTGGTGTGGTTATTAGTGTTAACTGAGATGGAGATTTAGAATGAAAAGAAGCGAGCTGAGCAGGGTAAATTACAAAATGTAAAAGTCAAGGAGAAAGGAGCACCAGGAAGTAGAATGGAGCGAGATTCTGTGTCCAAGGAGATAAACAGATTAAGAAACGGACTAGAGGAAGTTCGTCACTGTGGGGTTGGGCTTTGAGATCTCCTCTGCTTGAGCAGTTATATCCTCCAACAAGTCCACACCTACTCCAACAAGGCCATACCTCCTAATAGTGCCACTCCCTTTGGGGGGTATTTTCTTTCAAACCATTACAGATCCCTAGCACCAAAAAAAATCAATTAAATAGATGGTTTTTCTTTTGATTTATTGATTGGTAGATAGACATGTTCAAATGGAATTTCATGTCAAAAATCTCATGTGGCAGTTGGATGAATATAACCACAATACCTATAATTTAAGAACTCTAGAGGCTGAGACAAAAGGATTTTAAGTTTTAGACTACCCTAGGCTACATAGTAAGACCCTGTCACAGAACTATAGCCAAGGCCATGCATGGTAGCACACTAGTAATCAGGAAGTAAAGGCAATATCAAGCATTCAAGATCATCCCTAGCTACAAAATGAACTGGATGCTAGCCTGAGCTATCTGATACTGTCTCTGAAAAACAAAGACAAACACAGCCAAGTGTGGCCGTGCTTGCCTGAAACCCAGCACCAGGAAAGCTGAGGCACTAGAACTTCAGGGGTCCAAGGCTGACCTGACCTTGTCTCAGAAAACTAAATACCAGGCCTGAGGAGATCAGTAACATGCTCAATACACAAGCATGAGGTCCTGAGTCAGCTTCAGAACCCATGTAAACACTGGGCAGGGTGCTGGGCAGTCGGATAAGAGCTGAGTTCACTGACCAGGGAACCCTGTCTACACAGTAAGCTTCAGGCACATGGTGATAGCAACAAAATAAAGACTGTAAAGACAGTTTCTCTGCCCTACACACACACACACACACACACAGAGAGAGAGAGAGAGAGAGAGAGAGAGAGAGAGAGAGAGAACTTCCTCTTTCTCCCTCCCTAAAACAAAACACAAAGAAACAAACAAATCAAATCAAATATAGGCTGGAGGGGGCAGTCAGGAACTCATAGCTCTTACAGAGTCCACCCCACAAAAAAGCTGTTCCCATTTGTCTTACCTGCCTGACCAGTCAGGTACATTCTTACCCTCTTGAAGTTTCCAAAGGAAATGGGCGCGAGACCTCTGACTCACTTCCTTGGAGGAAGACAGGATTACCTGGTTGGTCCTTTCACCTTTGAATATACAATATTCAGCTAGATTTACAATGTGAACGATAAAAGGAAAAGGGCTTAGAAGAGGTAGAAAAGCAGAAGACAAAATTATTTTATAGAGACGAAACTAATCCAGATTTTGATACTGCCAGAAGCTGGACTCTGAGCTTCTATGGCCTTGAACTTTCCAGGACAGGGTTTAGAAGGAACTGGAAACCTGCAGTTGTTAAAGCCCTGACTTTGTGGCAACCAGCCGTTAGACTCTGGTTTCAGTTTTAAACTTGTGGCTTTAAAGGGGACCCCCCACACCCCAAGCAGGAAATGCTGATGACAGGCAAATCCTTGACCAAGGACCACACTTGTCAGAAAACACCTACATCTGGTGAACCTTATTGACTGAGTCAATGGAGTAGCTACACAGCTACCAGCAATTAGAACCAAGCAGGTGACCCAAACATCTGAGATCCAGGACCTTTTCAGGAGTAAGCCCTGAGGTTGTGAAACCTCAAAAACTCCCATCTTTTGTAAGGAGAAGTGTTGGGGAAGTCTTATGCTAATAAAGCACTGTCTGGCCAATAGGAATCTAGATAGGTGGGGCTAGGAGTCCAGGAGGATTCTGGGTAGGAGAAACACAAGAGAGTCAACATGTAACCGCCATGGGGGTAGGAGCCCAGAACTATTCTCCGGTAAGAGACATACTTAGATTAACAATTATGGGGTAATTACTTAAAGCAGAGCTAGCCAGTAAGAGACAAGCAAGGCCAACAGCTTCATAATGAATATAGCCTCCTGTGTGTTTATTTGGGACTGATGCGGCTCTGGAACCAGGCTAGTGGGAAGGCTCCACTCAAGGAAAGCTTCTCTTAACAAAATGGTGTCAGGAGTGGGATCATGAATTTCCACGCAGCATGACAAAAGCTTTAAAGGAATTTTAGAAACAGAAGAACGGAGAGAAGCACAGATGTTGGTAGCAGCATTTTTCTCAGGTGTGCTCTGTTTTGCTAGCCACAAGCCGAGATTCACGCGGCTCGCTTACTGGAGTCTTCCTGACTCGGCATAAAAAGAAAAAGAAAAAAAAAACCAACAAGGTTCTTTTAAGAGACTCTGCTAACGATTGAAAGGTGTGTACATACAGCTGGAAGTGGCAGCTTTTGCTGGAGGTCAGCATGGACTGAGGCGGTAAGCTGGAGTCATGCTTATGCCCGCCATCTTGAAGGAAAAACTGGCAGTTTAAAACAGTCACGGTTTTACAAATAAGACACGTGGCCAGAAAAACATAAAGATTTACAGTAAAGTCAGACTGGATGAAGAAAAACCTCTAAAGGTTTACAGTGTGTTTAAAAATATACGTGAGATTGAGAGAGAAAATGAAATGGCAAAGTGGTAAATAAATACAAAAGCCGGCGTTGTGGTGGCACACGCCGGTAGGAATTGCTCCAGAGGCAGAGGCAGGCAGATTTCCAAAGAGAAACCCTGTCTCAGAGAAAAATAAATAAAAGTAAAAGAAATAAAGTAATAATAATAATTGATAAATAAGCCACGTAAAGATGGAAAATACACAGAGAGTCTGGATACTGTACGCTATTGTGTTTTTCAGTTTTTTGCTTGCTCAGGAAGGAACTGATACTAAAGTACACTTGCTTATAAATGCTGCTAAATTAATACAACTTATATCTTTTGAAAATACCTTGACTTCAAAATTTAAGCATAAGGATATGTTACTCGGAAAAGGAGTTTTTATTTATGTTTCTACAGAAAATGAAAAGCTGAAGATTTCTTCCAGGCTTCTGTGGTTGCACGAACCAAGACCCCGGAAGCAGTGGACCAGGTGTTCCAACAATTGAGACAGCTAAGATGATGCAGCTTTACAGACCACGAAAATAAGGACTTATACAGGTTTCTGAGTTTTGTCATGATCCCCATGGTATGAACAGCGCCCCTTCCAGCAGGAAGCAGTTTGGAATGAGCGACGTCCCAATTCCCATCTTGTTTATAAATCTTTGTTTTCATCTAAATGGGATTGTTTATAATTGGCTAGTGATCATAGCCAATCTTTTTAATGGTAAAAAAGGGGAATTATGTTATGGGTATTGTTTTTCATTTATTGATACAAATTCAAAGTCAATTTTGTGATGCTTATATTTCTCCTCTTGATTAAGTATTGTGCTTATACTGATCTTTTACAACGTAATGCATAATTGAATACAGACTATAGATAGTTACTTATAATAGAATTTCTAGTTACATAAGTTAGGTATTCTAGATATACAGAAATATATTTGAGATGGACAGTCTTCAAACCTCTCAAAGACCTTCAGAACATGGCATTTAAAATGGTTTAGGGTTTGTCTTGGCAATGAGAAATGTCTGCTCCTGGCAGCACCAATTACGTCTGAGAGGAAGATGGGCATCGAAGAAACTCGTTATAAAGTTTGCTTTCAACATGGCAAGATTAGCCATTTGGGCAAGAAACTGCTCTTGCCTAGATTGTTTGACTGTTGTTGTATCATCTGGACATGCAGGACCCACAGGAAAGTGACTACTGAACTCAGTCTTACAGGGTTCCTGCTTGATGAAGAGTCTATGAGACTTTCTGCAGGACAAAGAAAAATGAATGATAGTCTGTCAATGCAGATGGACAGTTTAAAATTTCCTGCTTTGCTGAGAAGTGTTCCAGACACATTGTGGCCTATGGGCTGAAGATGGATGCCCCAACGTTACAGAGGAACTTCGGGTGACTGTCCAGGCAGTAAGATATCTCTGTCAATCCTAGTGTTTATATATTATCCTTCTGTGGTCTTTGATGGAGTTGAAGACAGATAGTTATAGTTTTCCTTAGTTATGATAAAAGATAAGTTACATATAGAACTTTGAACTCACAAGGATGGTATGGATGATATTTTCTTTAAATCTTGCTAATATTTTGTAACTATGTTCTTATTTGATAACTGTTCTGTTATATACAATTTGACTGTGTTAAAGTTAAGACCTTTCTTTTTGTTTAAACAGAAAAGAGGAGATGTTGGGGAAGTCTTATGCTAATAAAGCACTGTCTGGCCAATAGGAATCTAGATAGGTGGGGCTAGGAGTCCAGGAGGATTCTGGGTAGGAGAAACACAAGAGAGTCAACATGTAACCGCCATGGGGGTAGGAGCCCAGAACTATTCTCCGGTAAGAGACATACTTAGATTAACAATTATGGGGTAATTACTTAAAGCAGAGCTAGCCAGTAAGAGACAAGCAAGGCCAACAGCTTCATAATGAATATAGCCTCCTGTGTGTTTATTTGGGACTGATGCGGCTCTGGAACCAGGCTGGTGGGAAGGCTCCACTCAAGGAAAGCTTCTCTTAACAGAGAAGTGATGGGAAATGAAAGCTAACATTATGGTAAGCAGTTATCAAAAACAGTAAATTCATGCCAAGTCAACTGAGAAACAAAATGCCAAGACAGTCTTTGTAAAGGATAAAAATCTGACTAAGGCAGGGCATGGCATAAAACACCTCTAACCTCAGCACTCAATAGGCTGGGGCAGGACCAGCAAACCAACACCTTTCTCATTAAAAAAAAAAAAAAAAAAAAAAAACAGCCGAGGACAACACCTCCTTGTGTCCTGTGATTACAGCAGTCAGAAGCTAAGATAAGCCTATCAAAGAAACAGACACCAGAAAAAAGTCTTGGGATTCACTGAAGTGACTGGTGACCAGAGCAGGGTCCCTAAACCAGCTTGGTGTGTCTGGTATGGGGTTATTTTCTTGGGAGTGATCACTCCTGAATTTTAAAAGTCAAAGACCAAAAAAGCAGGACACTCCCTGTAATGCCAGCACTTTAGAGGTAGAGACAGGAGGATCAGGAGTGCAAGGTCATCTTTGGCTACATATAAGTATGCCCATTGCACTGTTCCACCTGTAGCACTCCAGCAAATGGAGCCCCCCGACCCTTGCTCTGGAAAACAGCTTTTCACAGGTTCCTGTGTGGCTGAGTTGGCTACACATGTGGGCACAGTTCTGGTGGAAGAGGAGCTTCCTCCAGCCAAAGCTCGGGCTGTGTGATGCCACCACCTAACTTCTCATGGCGATTTGTCTGGCTAGCACGTTTTTAAGATGTGGTGGTGCACACCCGTGAGTCTATACATGTAGCACTCCAGACGTGGAGGCAGGAAGACCAGAAGTTCAAGGTCAGAGGTCGGGCAGGCAGCTCATTTCTACAGTGTTTTCCTCACAAGCATGAGGACCTGAGATAGTCCCCAGAGTCCATGACTATAAGTGGGGGATGGTGGTGTACTTAGAACGCTATCACTGGGGCGTCAGACAGGAATATCCTTGCTACCCTAATCTAGTGAGTGAGTTCCAGGTAGCAGTGAAGGTCGAAAACTAGGTGCACGCCTTCTGAGGAAGTTCATTTCTGGATTCTGGATCCACACATGCAAATACACACACACACACACACACACACACACACACACACACATCATGCATAGATGAGCAATCACATACACAAGTGAAAATAGGTTACTGCAGCAAAGAACCTGTCTAGGGGCATGCCTTTCACCCCAGCATTCAGGAAACAGAAGCAGGCAGAGTTTGAGGCCAGCCTGCTCTACATAGTGAGTTCCAGGCTAGGCAGAGCTACACGTAAGACCCTGTCTCAAAAATGAATAAAAACAACAAACAAGTTTGGGGGTAGTAGGATGTCTCAGTGAAGAAAGATACTTTCCAAAATAAAAAGTTATATTAGATGACAAAGTGAATTAGGGTTGGGCTTCTATGGGCCTAGCAGCATGCAAGCTCAGCCCCGGAGGAGGCAGAGGCAGGAAATTCATGAGGCTCACTGACCGGTCAGACCAACCAAAATGGTGAGTTCTAGATTCAGTGAGAGGAACTATTTCAAAGAATAATGTGGATGCAGGGCAGTGGTGACACATGACTTTAATCCCAGCACTCTGGAGGCAGAGGCAGATGGATCTCTGTGAGTTCAAGGCCAGCCTGGTCTACAGAGCTAGATACCCAAGACAGCCAGGGCTACACATAAAGAAACCCTGTCATGAAAAAATAGGAAATAATAATGTGGAGAGTGTTTGAGGAAGATACCTAAAGTTGACTCTGGACTCCACACATTGTGGTAATATGTTGTTTACGATTTATTAAAGCCCCAGAAATCAAAATAGCAAAGCAGCCATACTTAGATGGCCATAGAAGTCAGGCACACACCTTTAGTCCCAGGACTCGGAAGAGAGGCCGAGGGATCTCTGAGTCCAAGACCACCCTGGGCTACTGGAGAATGAATCAGAACTCATGCCTTTAATCCCAGGATTTGAGAGATAAAAAAGGTAGAGACATTCAGTCTGAGTCTTAGTCTCAAGCCATGTTGAGGAGAGCATAGCAGTCCGAGTGAATCTGAGGAGCAGTGAAGTCGGGAGCAGTCTGAGGATCACCGCTTTGGTCTGAGCATAGGTAGAGGTAAGAGTTAGTGGCCAGCTGCTTTGCTTCTCTGACCTTCAGCTTGAAGCTTGAACCCCAATATCAGTCTCTAGGCCTTTTATTTTTCGTGCTACAACACATATATACATATCTCCCCCCCCACACACACACAGACACACACACACACACACACACACACACACACAATAACTAATTGGTTGGAACATCCAGCTTGCCCCTGCATGATCTGGAAAGCTCCATTCCTGCCTCTCTCCAAACCCTACCCACTCAGAGCCTCTCCAAACAAAGGAAAGGTGCCAAAAAGCCCAGTTCTGCTTCTTCCTCTGAAGTTGCCAGTCACTCAAGTCCTTGCCTAAAGTGTGCAGCTTTAGACCACACTTGGAGCCAAACCCAGCTTGTGGCAGACATGTCATCACACCTCACCTACAACTTATAAAGTCTGCCTGCTTTTGTTTGTGGGTGCAACTTCTCCAGCCTCAATCACTGGGACTGGAGAGCCCATCCAGGAGTTGCTTTACTCAAATAAACCTGTTGTTATACCTTTTAATTCGGCCTGATCTGGCTTACTGCATCAGCAGAGAAACCTATTGGGGGGAGGGCAGAAAACCTATTACTAATAATTAAAAGTAAGCTCCAGGACAGCCAGGACTGTTACACAGAGAAACCCTATCTCCAAAAAAAAACCAAGTTTAAAATAAAGTTTGAACATAACAAAAGGAAGAAGGGAAGCAGCTTGACCTCTGGGTTCTGCTGTGTGACAGTTTGACCTCTGGGTTCTGCTGTTCGAGAACCCAGGCTAGAGTAACCTGAAGCAGCTCGGACACTGCAACCTCACCATGCTGGGTTTTTATTTTCCTTCTACCCCACATTTCCCCGAGAAAGATTACTTAGAAACTATCTAAAACAAAACAGGCCTGTGCTTTGAAGGCATTCGCAGCATCTTGACTCAGCCACAGGCATTGATAGCTCCTTGTGCCCCCCCCTTACCCTACCCCCAGGACACAGCTTCTATCCGTCTCAATCCTGCATGAAGGCTCAGTGGGGTCATATTGCCAGGTAACATGGAAGTATTTCCCCTGAGGGCCGTGATGTGCCAGGCACTATGCTGGTAATGTCTGATTTCAGAGAGATGAAAATACAGACACCCACTCACATTCCTGTGAATGCCTATGACCTGTCTCTCAGCCCCACCCTAAAGCCATCCCTCTTCCTCCAGGCTCCTCTGCAGGTCCCTGAGCTCAGAGATCATTCCAGAGCCAACGGATCTGGTCCTGGCCGCATCAGAGTGGTTGAGGAACTATGCAGGCACTTGAGGGTAACAGACCTTCTCTGTGAGGCTTGACTTACCCATGGAAGGACCAGGCAGAGACTTGTTGCCAAGTAGAAAGAATCCTGAGGACAGGAAGTGAGGCAGGGTCACCAGGGAGTGACAGGAGGTCAGACACAGTGTGTACAAGCTGCACAAGGTGCCGAGAGGAGCTTTAGAGGACATGCAAGGAAGCCCAAAGTGCCTGAAAAATCTGCTTAGACTCTGACCAGCATCTGAAAGACATAAAAGGAAAAAAAAAAAAAAAAAGGAAAGTTACACCTTTCTGAGTCAGGACTCAGAAAGACAGAGACACCCAGATCCAAACTCACGGAAGCTCAAAGCCAACCACAGCTACACAGTGAGACCAAGTTTCAGAAGTAAATACAACAAAATTATCTGTCTGCTTGGTGTGTGTGTATGTATGTGTGTGTGTGTTTGTGTGTGTACACTTGCCGCCACATAAGTGGGGCAGCCAGAGGACAACCTCAAGAGTCAATTCTCCCCATTCCCCATGTAGGACCCAGAGGTTGAACTCAGATCATCACCCTAGATGGCAAGCGCCTTCCCTTACTGAGCCATCTGGATACAGGCAGAGTCTGTGAAAGAGATGCCTACGTGCACAGATAGAACCCGGGCACTCTGAGAGTGGAGTCCACCAAGAAGCCTTGCATGCTGCACAGATAAAGCAAATACACCAACATGTGAAGACAGAGATGATAGTCAGGAAAAGCCAGGCCCTGGGTGTGCCTGGGATTATCAACTCAGCACTAACTACCTTGTCTACATAAATCTTAATGAGTAGCTTCTGGCTTCTTGGGTCACACACACTGAGATAGTTATTAGATATTATATTTGTCTTTAGAGGAACAGAACTTATATAATGAACATATATTTTAATTTATTATGGATTATATATGTTATATAATAAAACTGTATATATTATTTATAGAATATATAATTCATAATGAATTGTATATATGTAAAGAGATGTGTTAGAAAGGCTTACAGGCTGTAGTTCAGTTAGTCCAACAGTGGCTGATCCAAGAATCCACTAGTCGCTTAGTCCAGGAGGCTGGATGTCCCAGCTAGTCTTCAGTATATGCTGGAATCTGGAAGAAGGAGACTCCAATGCCAGTGAAGGAATGGACTTACTAACAAGAGTAAAGGCAAGCAGGAAAATGTGGTGATATGTTGTTTATGATTTGCCTGGAGATCAGAATGCAAAGCTAGCCATAGCCAAAGGAGCCAGGCAATGGTGGTACACACCTTTAATCCCAGGACTCAGGAGGCAGAGGCAGGCGGATCTCTGTGAGCTAAAGGCCACTTGGGCTACATGAGAGTTAATCAGTCTAAAAGAAACACAGAGCTCACACCTTTAATCCCAGCACTAGAGTCAATACAAGTAGCTCAGTGCAGTCTCAGGAGCCGTCTGAGATTTGGTGAGGAGCAGTGCAGTCTGGAGATGCAATCTGAGGTTCAGTGGATCGCCCCTTCATTCTGAGCATTGATAAAGGTGAGCGCTCTCTGGTGGCTGGCTGCTTTGCTTTTCTGATCTTCAGCTTGAACCCCAATATCTGTCTCTGGGTTTTTAGTATTGGTGCTACAGCCAAAATGAAAGCAGACCTCTTGCGTGCCCTTTACAGAGGCAGTCACCACAAGGTGTGGTTCAGATTAAAGGTGGACCTTCCCACCTCAAAGATTCAGATTGGAAGTAGGTCTTCCCATCACTTCGCCTTTTGACTGAGATCAAGTGTAGAAGTAGGTCTTCCCACATCAAATGATTTAATTAAGAAAAAATTCCTCACAGATGTGCCCAGACATTTGCATTTTACTTAGTTTCAGGTGTAGTCAAGTTGGCAACCAAGAATAGCCCTCATAGGTATTTTTTCCTGTTTCCGTATCTGCCAGCTCTTTCCAATAACACCATCAGCCCCTGTGATAAGGATGTATTTGTCATTTGTCCTGACACACAGCTCCTAAAATCTAAGCAAAACCAAATGCCGACAGTGTAAATAACTCAGTGTCCACTGCCTGGGATTCACTCACGACCTTCCGTGCTGCACCCCGCCCCCCCACCGTCTCTGTGGTGGCCTTTGGGCTAGGTATTTGGGATGGTTTAGAGACGGCTCAGCAGCTAAGGGCACTGGCTGTTCTTCCGGAGGACTACAATTCAGTTCTCACCAAACACATGATGGCTCACAACCATCTATAATAGGACCTCATGGCCTGCAGACGTATGTAGGGCCCGGGACAACTCGGTACACACTAGGTTATCTGCTCTCCCTTACCTGCGTGATTGGATGAACCCCTGAAACTGTGAGCCAAAACTCCTCTGTCCTTTTTTTTTTTTTTTTTTTTTGGTTTTTTTTTGAGACAGGGTTTCTCTGTGGCTTTGGAGGCTGTCCTGGAACTCGCTTGGTAGTCCAGGCTGGTCTCAAACTCACAGAGATCCGCCTGCCTCTGCCTCCCGAGTGCTGGGATTAAAGGCGTGCACCACCAACGCCCGGCTCCTCTGTCCTTCTTAAGCTGTTTCGTTGGGCATGTAAGCAGAGCAACAGGATAAGTAGCAATGAGTCTGCAATTATGCAACAACACACCTGCTGTTTGTGACTCTGGGGGCCCAGTGCAGGGCTTTGTGCTTTCTGAGTGTGGTGATTTCGATGAAAATGGCCTCCCTAGGCTCAACTATTTGAATGCTTAATCACCAGTGAGTGGCACGTCTTGAGAGGCATTAGGAGGTGTGGCCTTGTCGGAGGAGTGACTCTGATGGAGGAAGTGTGTCACTGGGGGTGGGCTTTGGGGGTTTCAAAAGCTCAAGCCAGGCCCAGTGTCTCTCTCCTTCCTGCTTCCTGCAGATCCGGATGCAGAACCCTGAACTTCATCAGCACTCTGTCTGCTTGTGTGCCATTATGCTGATAAGGGACTAACCTTGTAAAACTGTAAGCCAGCCCCAGTTAAATGCTTTCCGTGTTAAGAGTTGCCGTGGTCATGGTCTCTTCACAGAAAAACAACATTGACTAAGACACCAGGCACTTTCTCTACCAGCTGAGTTATGCAGTTTGTAGGTTTCTCGGTTTGTTTAGCCCCGGCTAGTCTGGAATTATTATGTGGCTGTGGTGATTTGAATGAGAATGATTTGAATGTTTGGTCCACCACTTGATAGTGTTAGTTGGGGATGCTTAGGAGGTGTGGCCTTGTTGGAGAAAAGAGAACCCAAATCATAGTCATAAAACAAGAGGTTCACAGAAACAGGCCCTGGAACTCCCCAAACCAGCTTGGGATGGGACTGGGCTAGGATGGCAGTGGATATTTTATTGGTGGTGGCCACTCCTAAATTTTAAAAGCCAAGGATGAAAAAAAAGTGGAGCAACCCCTATAATGCCAGAATTCTGGAAGAGGAGGAGGCTGGAATATTAGAAGGATGGGGTTGGAGATTCGGGTCAGTGTTTAAGAGCATATAGCAAGTTCAAGGCCAGCCTAGTTTACAGAGTAAGTTCTAGACAACAATGGCAACACAGAGAAACTGTCTCCAAACACACACCACACACACAAGCTGGACAGTGTTGGTACGTGCCTTTAATACCAGCACTAGTAAGGCAGAGGCAGACGGACCTCTGTGAGTTTAAGGCCAGCCTGGTCTACAGAGCTAGTTCCAGGACTGCTAGGGATGTTACACAGAGAAATCCTGTCTCGAAAAACAAACAAAAACTCAAAGACCAGGGCCAGTAATGTGGCTTCCTGGGTTATGACTCTTGCAGTGGAGCCAGATGATAAAAGTTCAATGCCCAGAATTCTCCTGGTGGACAGTAAGAACTGAAGTACTGACTCCAAGTTGTCTTCTGACCTCCACACACACACACACACACACACACACACACACACACACACACACTAAACAAAGCTAGATTGGGTCTAGTGGCACCTGCCTTTAATCCCAGCACTCAGGGAGGCAGAGGCAAGGTCAGGGCCAGCCTGGTCTATATAGGAATTCCAGTCCAGCCAAAGTGACATAGTGAGACCCTGTCTCAAAATAAGTAAATGAAATGAAATGAAAGTAGATTTTAAAATGTAGTTGTCGGGCGTTGGTGGCGCACGCCTTTAATCCCAGCACTCAGGAGGCAGAGGGCAGGTGGATCGCTGTGAGTTCGAGGCCAGCCTGGTCTACAGAGCGAGTTCCAGGACAGCCTCCAAAACAATACAGAAACCCTGTCTCAAAAAAAAAAAAGGAGTTTAGAAAAAAATCCTTTAGAAGACTTAATTTTTTTTTTTTTTTTTTTTTTTTGGTTTTTCGAGACAGGGTTTCCCTGTGGCTTTGGAGGCTGTCCTGGAACTCGCTCGGCAGACCAGGCTGGTCTCGAACTCACAGTGATCCGCCTGCCTCTGCCTCCCGAGTGCTGGGATTAAAGGCGTGCACCACCAACGCCCGGCTTAGAAGACTTAATTTCTTTTTAATTGGCCAGGCAGTGATGGCTGACATCTCTAATCCCAGCCTCAGGAGGGAAAGGCAGGCAGATCTCTTTGTCTCTTTGAGTTAGAACCCAGCCTGGTCTAGAGTGAGTTTCAGGACAGCCAGGTCTACACAGAGAAACCTGTGTTTTTCTGTCAGCTTAGCGCTGCACCTGAATCTACTGATGTCTTAACTACTGCCTGTATCTTTCAGCTCAGACCCCCTGCTTAGCCTCAGCCACCAAACACAGGTTTTAGCTAAGTCTCTATTGCTCTATTTACCAATGAAGACTTGAGAGTCAGATGTTGGGGTGAAAACCTTCTAGATCAGAGAGGCCAAGAACTCGACCTTCCTTTTTTGGCTGGAGATCCAGTAAGAGAAAATCTCTCCATTCTCCCAAACTAAAAACATGGGAATCTCTTAAGTGCCTCCCTACTCTGCTCTGTGAGGCTCTCTATCCATCTTCCTGGATCCTCCATCCTCTCTAGTCTACAATAATGACTAGTTATTGTAGACTAGTCGCAGACTCCACCCCCTGATCCAAAGTTAATTTTATTAACACAGTCTGAGTTCCACGGTTCAATCAAATAACCCAAAGCAGAAACTTAACTCTGTCTCAAAATACCAAAAACAAACAACGACAAAAACAATGCATTGTTTATGTATCTGGAGTGTGCACATGAGTGCTCCTGCAGCTGAGACCAGAGGTGTCAGATCTCCTGAGCTGCCATTTCAGGCAGTTGTAAGTAACATGATGGGGGTTCTGGGAACCAAGCTCAGATCCTCTGTAACAGCTTGTGGCCTCTTAGCTACCAGCCATCTCTCCAATCCCAAAGTATTTTTTTTTTAAGTCAAGGAAGATAATTCAGTTGGTAGATTGTTAACCATGAAAATACAAAGTTTTTTATTCCTAAAACCTACATTTTAAAACAAAACCATTAAGCCAGGAGTGGTAGCACACCCCTTTAATCCCCAACACTTGGAAGGCACAGACAGACAGAAGGGTAAGTGAATTCCTGTGAGGCCCAGGCCAGCCTGGTCTCCATAGGGAGTTCCTTGCCCTGGCTACAATAGCGAGACCCTAGCTTTAAAAAGAGAAAAGGCCACCACTGTGATGTGATCCCAGTATACAACCCCGAGGTTTGTTGTGTTCCAGGTTGAGGTAGGAAGCCTTCAGGGGAGCCACTGGTCATTCTAGGAGGCGAGGGAGGACAGCAGCCGGTATGGGAGGTTCCTTTGGGCTTGGACCAGTAAGGAGCCTGAGATAGGTGTGGTCAGCACTGGGGCCAAGTTACTTCTCACCTGGACCCGGATCAACTGCTGCCCCCACCTCTCCTCCTGCCCTTCCACCAGAGCAAGCTCCCTGGAGCTCAGACCTGACCTTCTGTGTCTCCCTTTCACAGTTTTGATGGCTCTGCTCCCTGCCCACAGCCTCCCCCTTGTTCCTAAACTTCTTAACGTCTGTGATCACGTTCACCATCTCCAGACCCTTGTCCTCCCTTCAGCCGTCCTGGAATTTCCTGTCCCGCTGTCCTCTCTGAACTAGACTCCATTCCTGTTTCTGAGTCACTCAGGGGTGACTCAGTGTGACTCATCCCACCACGGCCCCTCCCACTTAGACTCACCTCTACTGGGTGTGGCTCCTGCCTGCTCACTGGCTGC